AAGAAAAAAGCAATTACAATAGCAAAAAATCCGAGCTCAAATCAATTCTTCACGAACTTTTTTGTTTATTCAAGTGACCTAATTTATTCAGGCTGCAAATATAACCTACTTAGAAGAATTAATAATATTATTAAATTATACATGTTCCAGTCTAGAGTCTCGGACCTTATCCAACACAAGTATGACTTTTTAAAAACCTTTTTACTCGCAATGAAAGAGAGCTTAAGGCATTCTCTTACTTAAATAATGTTTGATACAGGAAGGAAAAATTGTCATAGCAGTGGAGTAAAAAGTTTAAAAACTAAAAATAAAACTGAATAAACGCCTGTCTCTGTTAAGAAGTCATGTAAAACTAAAAGAAAGTTTAAATAAGAATTAAAAAAAAAAAAAAAAATGAATATGAAACTGATTAAAAAAAATATTAATTTGCTGCGAAACTCGAAGCGAACTTCAAAAAACAAAAGTTACAAAATTTTGTAACTTTTGTTTTTTTTGGAAAAGGTCGCATAATGCACTAAGAAGACTTAAAAGCTCACTTCCAATTGTATGAGAGTTGAGTACACTAAGTGTACTTCCACTTATTAACCGCTCGACTTAAACCTAGCTTAGTATGGGACTGAGAAAATGTTTGTTTGCAGCAATTACTAATTAACCTGCCTTGTGGTCAAAATAGCTGCATATTTTCCTCAGGTGGAAAGTCTATAGCAGCGAGTGGTGTTTTAGTTACAATTATTAATTAAATTTGCAATAATTATGACAAAGTTTAAAGCTAATTTATACTTTTTACAAAGTTTTTTAAATTTTTTAAGCTGATTTTCTACGGATGTATTTTTTCCATAGTAAGTAAGTGAACTAAACTTATTTGAAATGTTTGTTGAAGTGCAGATAAGAAAGTTCATATTTTTTAGTAAATGTAGAGAAGTAGAGAGAGAGAATAAAGAAGCTATCATGATTACAATTGTCGGTGAGTCTTTTGATCTTTAACCGCTTTTTACTTCTCTCTTTGGGTAAAGCGAGTCACTTGGCTTATGCATAGGTTAGCAGCTAGCTGGTATTTTGGGCCGACTGACCACGACCTGTTGCAAAGATTAGTAGTTGTCTATTTTTAAGAGATAACTGGAACATTTTTGTATTTTCTCCAAACAGTAACTGGTTGAAAGTTCTTGAAAATTATGTATTAAAAAAAAAAAAAAAAAAAAATCTATTATTTTTTTTTAGCAGTTTGTTTGCGAAAACCAGTATCATAGATTGTTGTACCAATTTTGGTTGTAATTTGTATTGGTTAGGGGACGTTTTTAACCTTCTAGAGCAGGCAATGTCGCTCATTGGTTGCCTCTTACCCATACTTTTGAATGAACTTATAATCATTCATTTAGTTAGGATGAGCCAAGTATGTTTAATAAAGGGTGTATTTTTTAGCATCGCTACTTAATGTGACACAAGGTCATGGTTTAACCGTTAACACATTGTATTTAGTCACTACTTTCCTTTCCACTGCATTATTTTTTAAGGCTCCTCTACAGCACTAAATTTCAGTCATGGTCATTTTCTGTTGCCATAGCAGGATATGACAACACAACTGTAAAATTCAAACATGCTATCATCATTCATTCATCTGAGTCACCTGCAGTGGCAGGATAAAATTTTTGCTTTGAAGCAAACAAAATCACTTCCAGAATGTTAAAGGAAAATAGGTTTACGGCTAAAACCATACAAAAACTGTCCAAGCCCCCTCGGCACTACCCCTTTTAGGGACGCCTCGCACCCCACCTCCGGGTGCTTGGGCTTATTTTCTGAAACTCCCTCACATAGGCTTTCGCCTACACAACTGAATGATTGGCGTAACAATTATTCCATGATAAAGAAAGACCAACTTGCTTAGAAATTTACAACCTAGCTTTTTTTTTTTTTTTAAACCAGTATTTATTTGTTGACACTGTTCAGAAGAATTATTTCTGTGGCAAAACAGACTACTCACTTGGTTCATCAGAGAAAAGAATGGAATATTGACAACAACAATTAGTACTAGTAATGGAAATAATGAACACTAAAACAGTAGTAAATAAAACTAAAACGTGAACGTCCTACTCCTGTCCTTTATCAACCTTTTCATCTTTTGAATCTGTAATTTCACTCTTATGTCGTGGGTGTGTATTCCTTTCACTCCACAAGATTATTTCAAATTTCAATTCTCATCTGATCCAATTGACCGATTTAAAATATTGATTATCATTATCAATGAACGCAGAAATGTTATTTTAAAAGTTTAAAAAAAATAATATGCATAAAAGAAAAAAAAAAAAAAAATTAAGTCAATAAAAAAAAAACAAAAGTCAATACTACATCTACCTACTGGATGGTGTAGTTGTGTTAAGAAACAAAAATAAAACTTATTTCTTCATTTAAGTTTTTTTTCTTTAAGAATTTTTAGTTTTCTCCACAGTAAAATAAAATAAAAACAAACAAGTGATTCGATGTACTCTTGGTATTCAAAGTTTTCAAAAAAGGTCTTTTTTTTGGTGTTGTTTTACGTTCGGAGATAAAGTAACAATATATATCAGCCACAATACCTTTACAAGTTGGAGATGGAGGTCGTCAGATGAAGGAAAATTAGAAAAAAAAAAAAAATATTAAGGGAGCCACAAAAAACAAAATCAAACACTGCTGATGTTAAAGTGCTTTTTATGCGCGCGCGCGTGTGTGTGATACATTTAGTAGTAGTACGAATTAATTATTATTAACCATCTTGAACATCCACGCTTCAAAAAAAGGAAACGGAGATTTTAAAGCTTAAAATTTAAACTTATGAGCTAAACACAAAAATTTAAATGTTCTTGACGGTTACATAAGCGGCAAACGTAGATATTTTCTGTGTGTTTTGAAACACTGTATTATTCCGCCTACTCAAAAATCAAAACCAAATTGTTTTTGCTTTGGAGGGTCCCGATTTAACAAAGCCAGTCAGTGTTGCTTGTTGAGATAATTTTTAAAACAAAAAACACTAAGTGATTATATTCATTGTAGATCACAGTAATTGCCGATAAGACAATCAAATCAAAACTAAAGTCATTTTTTAATAAATAATTGTAAATCAAAACTATCACTCAATTCATTACATTTCCTTCAGTAGAAATGAAACTGAACATGGAATCTTCGTGAAAAACAAAAACAAGACAAATGTAATTTATTATTTAAAAAACATTTAAAATTGATTTACTTTTAAATCACTGACAAAGACTTACAAAATTAAAAGCAATAATTGCCTGATTCGACACACACACAGGTGTCAATATTTTTAGACCAAAATGGAAAACAAAACAATAAAACACATTTCAGATGGCCTGAAGCTTGCGTTCAATCATGAAACAGACTGTTGTTCTTCGGTGTTGATATCAGTGTCCGAACTTCTTTAATTATTTATGAAAAGAAAAGAAAAGAAAAACAAACTCAAGTTACTGACTCTTTCCAACCCAAACAATGTTGTTACCTTACCATTCGTTTTTAAAATACTTTCAAATTTCGTACCAATTTTTCTGTCCCCGATAATAGTTTTTTTTTGGGGGGGGGTCTTTATTTTCAGATCAAAAAATATTTTAGTGACTAGTTAGTTTCTAAATCAGAAAAGCTAACTAAAATCAACAAGCCAAGTAAGTACTTGGCTTGTTCGTACTTCTATTCAAAAAAAAAAAAAAAGATATGGAATTATTACTAAGCTTAAGTACCTAAAAACTAAGGTTTTAAAATAAATGCAATTTAAACAGTGAGTAGTTGAGTAACAATACCATTGTTTTATGTGATTGTATGGCAACGAGCCTCGCAATGAAGAATAATCAAAATCTGATTGAATTCGATTATCTATTTCAGCCTTCATTGATCTCTATTCTTTAAAAAAAAAAAAAAAAATTTACACGAGTTGTAAATAAAATACTGATTTTTAAAAAAGAATTTACTTCCAAATCAGAACCTGTGTTCTAAATAATTTGAGGGTTACAGTTACTTGGTAACGAATCCAATCAATCTGGTAGTGATACCTCTCGCTCTACCCTGTCTCCAGAGACTTAGGATATTATCAGTTTTCTAATAGTCATCAGTTATTTCATATATTTTTTTAAAAAATTTTTCCAAGTCGCCGTTTTTTGTTTGGGTTAGGAGGTGAGAAAGTGATAACAAGCTTCTCACACCAACCAAGCACTTGTGATTGTAATGTAGAACCTTAGAGATTTGTGTTCTGCCTTACAACGATACAATAACATACAAAAACTAAAAACAGATTTACTTGGTCGTTGAAGATTTTTCCTGATTCGTGGTTGAAACGATTTTTTTACTCAACGAGTGAAGTGTACTTTCCACCAATGAGGCACTTTGAAAGGTTTTTGTTTTTTGACATTTGGTTTTTTTGATAATTAAATTAACTGACAATAATTTCGCTCCCTCTTTGATTGCCAACTGATGTTAAAGAAAGACTGAACAGACCATTTTCATTAAACAATAAACATTTCAACTGTCTGTAATAGAAACGAAGGCTGTTGAAAACGTTCACGATTTTTAAGACATTTTTCTCAAAAACCAGTTTGCAGTTCAGTAACTTTTGTTTTAAGAAACATTATTATGGATTTTAGAAGTACAAACAAATTTTAAATGCACTTTTCGAAAACAAAAAAAAATTTGTCTTTAAAAAAACCAAAAAAAAAAACCAAACAGTTTTCTTGTTTTTTTTTTCTTTCTTTTTGACATAGCAACATTTAATAATGAACTCCAGCCACCGAACTATAACCTATTAAAATAAAATGTAAACGTAATGGTGTATTTTTATAGAGAGCGCAACATGAAGACAAAAAAAAAAAAAAAGATCAGGTGCTAGCTAACTAACACTTTCTTTCCCGTGGACCTTTCGTAGACAGCAAAACGATACACTAACATGCTTGTTATCTTAAATAACATCGAGTGACAACATCTTTTCTTACCTGCAATGATGCCTTTCAAACTCTTAGAACCGCTGGATGGAGCTGCAGCCATCATATAAGACTGGGGTCGAGCAAAAGGAGGGAGAAAAAGGCCAGTATTGCCAACAACACGACCACGCAAAGGATCCATGTTGGTCAATGTGTCCCACTTGCAATAAGAAATGAACAGTAGTTCGCTCCAAAGTGAGAGTTGGAGGTAGACGTAATAGACGGAGGTGGAGGAGAAGATAGGGTAAAAGTGAGAGTAGTAGGAGATCGTGCGAGGGTAGGAGATAAAGATGAAGCAGCAGGAGGAGATTTATCAATCGGGGAAAGGTGGATTTTTGTAACAATTTTGCGTTCACATATAATTCGGAAAAGAAAGGATGATTTTTAAAATTCCATCTAAACAATAAAATAAATCACTGGATAAGCGAAGTAGATTTTACGTTTTCATTTAAAATAAATAAATAACATGCTTGATTATTTAAATAAGGGGTGTGTCAGGCCACGTACCCCAGGATTGACGAATGGACAACATCATTGCTGAACGCGCTACGACTTTAACATGAACCAATGACAAGAAAGGTTTCATTACGTAAATGGGTTTACCGTTTTTTGTTTACAGTTGCTATGACGACCGCAAATTGAAATGTACAGAGATTGTATCTTATTAAAAGGTGCTGTTTTCGCGTAAGTATTTTTCTTAATCTATTTTTTATATTTTAGGAAAAAAAAAAACAATGAAATAATAATAGACAGTAAATATTCTCAAATTTTAAATGTTTTAGAAGGCTAGAAAGTACAAATTTTTAACAAATAACCAGTGTTTGTAAAAAGAAAAACTAAAAAAGAAACCCAAACTACAACCAAACAGACCCATTATTACCCCGCAAAAAACATTGATAATCGCCTTCGACCCGTCGCCTACAATAATATTAAATTTTAATATTATTGTAGGTAATTCAGACATAACTAAAAAAACTACTCAAGAGTATTTAATAATTACTCTTTGAGTATTTTTCGTTATTTACAATATCGTACCTGAAAATAATTATTAATTTCAAAATCTTATAGTAGTGGTTTGCCATTGGCATTATTGTCCATTGCTCAGTCTTTAGGGATATAAAAAAAAAAAAAAAAAGACTTAATTCGCCTAGGTCTCGAAGTCAGATATTTTCACCAAGATAATATCATTTTTAGAACTGGAATTTATATCTCTATTTATGTTTTTATGGTTGTACGTTTGTTAAAAAAAATACCGAACTTGATAAAATTAAAATTTGACCCAACATCAGATGGGAAAAGCATCTTGGTCAGGCTGTGAAGTTTTCTGTGCGTGCGACACACACACGTGCACGCACGCACACACACACACACACACACACACACACACACACACACACACACACACACACACACACACACACAGAGCAAAAATATTGCCGAGCTGCAGTCTTCATAGTACAGGAAAGCGATATATCGATATATAAGTATAAAACCGCTAAAAAAATACACAAAAATTACTTTAAATTACTTAACTACAATTTGTAAGTAATCGTCAGACAATTGCAAAAATTGAGAACTTAGACACACATACACACACACATAGTGTGTTAGAAAGATATAAAATCCCAAAAAGAAGTGGAGAAATCAAATTGGAATGTCTTTTTATTGACAACTTGTTTCGCCTTCGTTAGGTGGGCGTATACACACACACACATACACACACACACACATATATATATATATATATATATATATATCTTATTTATGAATCCACATGCCCCTTAAGAAACTGCGTTCCTGATCAAACCGAATTCATAATTGGACATACCACTACTGCCTATCAATAGCACTCACATTACACCCCCTCTGACTATAGCTCAATTAGAATTCATTTAAAAACACACTGAAACCTACCAAGCTCCATTCACAACATACTTGTAGAAAAGACAAATATAATCGCCTCATCTACATGTAAAAAAGACTAAAAATAATGGAAGCACTAATAATAAAAAAGAAAAAGCCAACACTCAATAACATCAACGATGAACACAGCCACAATGTGCTGACCGTGTTTTGAAAATAAGAATAATTTTTTTTAACTCTTGATACACATACACAAAAAATATGCATAGCTTTCGTTAAATAATCAAAATCACCTTTAATAATGACCGAAAGAATATATGAAAGCGCTCGGATATATAGAATATTTGGACAATTTTACACAACTTATAATATCCAGAAAACAAAACACGTATACGAATACAAGAAAAGTTAAATAAAAACCTTAATTGGAGTACATTGTCAGTCGTCTTTAATGAAACCTGTATAAAAGAGAGATTGCTGCCCAAATACACACACACACATACATCGTATTGATAAGCTACATACAACGTTATATATTTTAAAGTGTTTTCAACTGTGTCACGCTTTATTGCAGGTGTACACAAATATCATTTTAAAAAGTAATGAAACAAGCTATTATCATTATATTACCATTTTATTGTAATAATGAAGCACGTGACTAAAGAATGAAAGCAGAAAATATATAGAAAAACACAATTAGATTGCTGGTGATGTACTTTATTTGTTTACGTAACTTCCATGTTTAGAAATTACATCAAAAACTCTTTTGTCCATAGAAGCTGTTAGCCGTCGACTTTGAGAAGACGTTATGGTACCAGCAACAATTTTGATCTTTTCTCACAAGGCATCCTTCGATGAAAACTGCACACCTTTATCATAAACTTTCCTCTTCAAGATTGACCAGAGCTGTTCAATAGGGTTATGGTCAGGAGAACAAGGAGGCCAAGTCATAAGTGTTTGTCCTTCGAATATCATAATTGCAAGGCACAGAATTGTAGCCTTGGCTGAATGCGATAGAGCATTGCCATGCATAAAAATCAACTACGTGAGTGGCAAATCATCTCTAACCATACTGAAAAATCTCCCCCGGAAATGCGGTGTAGGAATTGCTGATGTGTTTGACACGCTTCTGGCACTCGAAAAGGTCCGACAAGTTAATTTCCTATGATGCCAGCCCAAAACATGACACCACCACCTCCTTGTTGACGTCGAATGCAATGCGAGCGAGAGGTTCCCAGTAGTACCTAAGCTTTGGCCCATCCATCAAGGCCATCCAATGTAGCTCTGGCCTCATCCGTGAAGAGAACATCTCGAAAATTGGTCTTCATTGCCCAAGCAATACGCTTCTTTTGTGGGTCTTGTTTAGGATGGGTTAAACACTTCTTGTCGTCACTTTAAGAATCCTACACCAGGTGCTTCTAGACAAAGGAGCAACCCCCCAACAGATTCAAATATGGCAGCACTTGTGCTACCGAGGTATTTTCTAACTTTATTTTTCGAATGTCACGCTGGGATACACTTTCTCTTTAGTCTTTCCTTTATCTTGTCTTGCTTAGGTTATAGGGTTTTCCACATGACTTCAATGTTCTTATATCCCGACCTTGTCTCTTTGGCTAATTCACCTAAAGATAAGCCTTCTTTCTGAGAGACCTGAAACAATCCGTGTCTTTTCTGTAACTGTCAGACGTCGTTTCAATGCAATAAAGTTTGACACAGTTAAAAACACTTTAAAATACATTACATAATGTTTTATGTAGCGTATGAATATGATTGAAATTTTCACTGCATACTCTCCTAATTAGAATCTTTCAGTGTATCAAATTTCATTTTTGTACAATGTTTAATATTCAAAATATCAACAGAAATGTGACTTGCAATAATGCGTGATACACTGTTTATGTAGTATATGTATATGGTCGCCTGACTATCGCGGTAGCGTGAAACAGTGAAACTTAAGTAACTTTGTCTCTTGAGTCGTGACGCTGGGAAGTGCATTTGCATTTACTCTATCTTGGTAACCTCGACATAGAGCACTGTTTGTTACTGTTTAGGTAGGTTTTTGCCTTTGGGTCTTTGTTTTTATTTATTTATTTATTTTTTTTTGTATGTGTGTGTTTTTTTTTCCGGGGGTGGGGTTTTTTCGTGTTTAAGTTTCATTTACCGTTTTACGGTTTTCTTATATCGGTTTTTCTTGGTTGTTAGATTTCTTTTTATTGTTGTCTTTTGGTCACCTGGTAAGCTTTCTGTTAGTTGTCCCAATATAAAGACATTTTATGTTTGTAGATACAAAAATATTTCAGTAAATGCTCTGTTTATAATAAACAGTACATTTACCGGCCTGAATGTCCGAGAAATTTTCATAGAAAATATTCGTCCTCCGTCTATGAAAATTTCTCGGACAATCAGGCCGGTAAATGTTGTTTAATACTGTTTATTATAAACAGAGCATTTACTTAAATATTTGTATCTATAAAGAGAATGTATAAACTAAACATAAAATGTCTTAAAATAATTGTCGGATTTTGTTCATTTCATAATATATATATTAGTTACTTCCAAAGATTCACTAAAAAACGAGCATACATAATGAAAAAATGCCCCAACCTTAATAAAAACGTTTCATCATCAAAAACTTTATGTTATTATTAAGAGGAAAGACCAAAGAAATTTTTATTATTAAATTATACATTTTAATCATTTTTAGAACCTTCAAAATTCTGGTTAATTTTTTTTTTTTTCTTGCGTCAGCGGGTATAGAAAATAATAGCATTTTGTGATGGTGAAAAAACACCTTGATTTAGAAATTCCTTCTTCTGAAGAATCAAATAATTGTCGGATTTTAATGAAATTTTCAGGACTTATTCACAAATAAATTAAATTATTTTAGAAACCCTTCTGTTTTAGAAAATCATGGTAAAATATTTTAACCACCCATTTATATGACTCCCTTCTGTTGTCTAACCACCTTCTGCCTTGAAATCTGATTACATTCTGATGCTTATCTCTTTATATAAAAATTAAGGGGCTCCAGTTAGATCTTAACTTAAAAATTTAAGAGGGCGTTAATCCCACATTTTTGATTGGACAATAAATAGAAATATTTCATATTTTTTAATTTAAAAAAATGAATTTGAAAAAATCCACCAAGTCAGAAATAAATTTGTCGGTTCTTTAACTGTCAATTCTAAAACTAAGGACTTTCACAACACGATGTAATAATTTGTTTACCATCTGACTTTCTTTAAAATACACTTAAACGAGTAATGGACAAACCCAGACGAGTATAATATATATTTGCTTGTTTATTTACACTTGTTAATTTATTATCTTTAATTATTTCGTATTATTAACTAATTTTAAATGTTTTCCACACTATCATTAAGTCGTTTATTTTTTATTTTTTATTTTTTTTTCATTTCAGCAATTTTTCTTTAATCAAATTACCAGTTCGAATTCTACGCATTTTTAGTTTCTTCCTGTTTGTTACTGCTTTTGGTTAAAAATTCTAACAATCACCAAATTAAATAAAAGTATTCAACATATCTATGGATTTTATAAATTTATACAAGACTGTTGGGTGTAGTAGACTTTCTCAGAAGCAGGTTATGGAACTAATTGACTTATGGGGCACAGAAAGCGTTTTTAGTTCTTGTGGCTAATTTGTATAAGATAGTGGCAGTGATTATTAATTATTCCGTGTGCTGCGCCAACGTACAACACAATGATTAAGCAAGGCATTTAAACAAATGAATTTAAAACGAACAAGAAAATACAGATTTGTTCATCAACAAAAAAAAATCATTTTATACATGGTGTGTTTA